AGGAACTGATCAACTCCCTGTTTTGACCAGTAAGATTTTTCTTCATTATAGAGATTTTTTTTTATCTCTTGGCATTTTAAAGGTGTTTGCTGTTATTGCAATAAATTTCTCAACTGAATAATTTTAGAAAGGCAAAAGTCCAGTCCTCATAGCTAAATCTCCATAAAGTTGATGTCAAAAGGACAAAGATCTTAGTCTCGATTTGCCATTTCTATAGTTGTGTGTTCTTAAATCATTATTTGAGGGAGGAGGTTGATTTATGTCCTTTTGAATGTTATTGGCAACACAGTTTTGTAGTGATTCATTTTAAGTCTTTTATGAGCAAGTAGAGATATCACTAATACATTTTTATATATTATTTGTTTACACACACAGAGCTTTGAGTGTCCTCACAGAATTTTATTCCCAGCCCTTTGTCTTGATTTCAGCTGGGACAGAGTTGACTTTCTTCACAGTGTCAGGTATGTTGGTGTGTTTTGGCTCTGGGAGAAAAACAGTGTTGACAATGCATCAGTGCCTTCATTGTTGCTTTGCTGTTCTTCACAGAGCCAAGGACATTTCAGCTTCTTGTACTGTCCTGTCACTGCAAGGGGATGAGGGGACACAAGGAGCTGAGGGGGGACAGAATCAGAACATCTGAGCTAAACTGGCCAAAGGGATATTTCATGACATATGACATAATTTGAAAAAACTTGGGGAGTTGGTTGGGGAGAGGGGTGCTGCTCAAGGGCTGGCTGGATGTCCATCAGCTGGTGGTGAATAATTGCACAGTGCATACGTTGTTAAGTTGGCATATATTGTCATTTCTATTACTATTTTCATTTTCTGTCTTAGTAGCTTTTATCTCAACCCATGAGTTTTACTTTGTGGCTTTTTTTTATTTTCATTCCCAGTTCTCTGTAATGCCTTTGCTTCCAGAATTCCTCCCGTACTAAGCCAAGTGCCTGAAAGGTGTGAAGGCTTTCTTTCCATATATGCTTATCTTTTTCTACTGACGGTACTGACTCATGTTTTCCAGGAACAGTGAAAGTTGACAATGGAAAATTACTTGTATACAGATAAATTTAATGGAAACTGAAATGAAATAGTGATATAATTCCACAGCACATAGCTACTCATGAAAACATATTCAAACTTCTTCAAGGCTTTCAACTATACCATTCCAGTTTGAAGACTGGCAGATATCATGACAACTAACTGTTTGGTTTTGATTTGATGTTTTCAGTTAATTTAGTGTTCAGCTTAACTGAGATATTAGTGCTTCTGAAAAAATATATATTCCTTAGCAAACAGAAGCAGTTTTTCTTGTGTTGCTCATCAGTTCTGGCTCAGAACATCTAGACAGTCTTGTTTAGTTGCAATTTGGTTGTACTTCTGCATTGTACTTCTGCACAATACTTGTTTTAATTCTGGATGTGAACAACAGATACTGTTAATCTGGGAAGAACAAGAGCATTATTGTGAAGTATTGAGTAGCAAAGGTCTGTGTTTTCAGAGATAGGGAATATTGATTACTGTTTTAGGTTTGCATCAAATGTACAGTATATTGATTGGCTGGACCACAAAAAAATAAGTTCACCTGTCTTTTCATAGACTGACAAAAAACGATAATGATTAGCAGAGTTTATAATTATGTTTCTTGAACATCATAACCTGATTAGTCTGCAGCAACAAACTCATTTAACTTAAATTGCAAATCAATTTACTCGTTAGTTCTATTCAAACTGTACTCTCTTATAACTAAGACAGCAAATTTGTGATAGAATCACTTCTTCCATCTGTCTTTTGGTCAGCTGAAAAATTAGTTGTATGATTAAAATCGTTATATTCTTCTGTCTGATTTTTTTTTTCCTGGTTAAAGGAAATGTACTAAAGGATGCCCAGAGATTTTATGCAGAAAAGAGATGCATTTAATTTCATCTTTCTTGTTAAATCTGATTGTCAAAAAATGATGCATTTAGTCAGACCATTCAAATGTCCTTTATAGGGAGAGAGACAGAGACAGTTCCAGTGAATAATTCATCCTATAACAGATATGGGAGACAGAGGGCTTGATTAATTTTGGTGGTCCTTCCTTTTCTTTGCTGGCTAGAGAACACATCTTTGTTCTCGGATACATAGCTAGGAACTTTGGCTTGGAATATATAATCATTGAATCTTTGCAAACCTTATACCACCAACCATGGGATGAGACAGACAATTAATTCAAATACCTTTTGAATTTTGGGGTAAGCTTGTCCTTAGATATACTTCAGTTCATTTTTCCTGCAATGGTTTGAGATCCTGAATTGCAGCATAGTCAGAACATGACTATGTAGAAGTGGACTCATTGTGTTAACCTAGAACCTGCTAAGACATCAGTGTAACTTTTCAACCTGAATTGATACATGATTATCAGCATGTTTAAGTGTTAACTGGATCTGTTAGACTGAAGATCACTGCTTGATGCTTCTTAATTGCACATCCTGTGATGTCTCATCAACAGGTTGTTTCAATGAATAGAAATAACGTTGTGAAAATGGTACTGCCTTTCTTTGAAAGGAGATGATGCAGAGTGGATTAAACCAATTGACCTCTGTAAACTGGGCTCTTGCTTTTGATGATGTAAAAAAACCCTGCAGCAGTAAGGCTGGAGGCCACCAGCATCCTTTAACAGAGAAATTCACATCTCAGCACTTGTAGGGATGACAGCAAAATGGCATGCATGTGGCAGGGGGGGTTGGAGATTCATGATCCTTGAGGTCCCTTTCAACCCTGGCCATTCTGTGATTCTGTAAAAGAAGTAACATCTTTCTCAAGACCTCTTTCTCTATGGAGAAAGAACACAGCTCCTCCAAAAGTTCTTGTGAGAAAGCCCAGACCAATTGCATCATAGATGGACATTGATGCTTCCCAGCCGCCTGCAGCTGTATATTTAGGAGCTGTCATGTCAACACAACCCTGCCTCTGGCAAAATTAGCAAGACACGGAGATTTTTTTTAAAGTATGTTGTACCCTAGAGCCATAGGTTGGCCAAAACATTTAAGCTGGCTTTACTTCACACAAAACTTGGAACATCCAACTCTCACTAGAATTCATTGTAATGACTGCAGGAACTATAAGCTCCAGGCTTCATCTGGTACCCTCACTGCACAAACACCACGTACATTCAAAAAAAAAAAAAAAAAAAAAAAAAAAAAAAAAAAAAAAAAAAAAAAATCAAATATGGCATCATATGTCTCATAGTCATCTTACACATAATCTGAGATATTTTTGTTACATCTCACAGCCATAAACTTTGTCTGTATGTTAAGATTTAGTCTCAGTTCTTTCCACCACAAATTATTCCAGTGGGCAAAATTATAAATAGTTTCTGACTTTATTCAGTTCAGTGTTTATACAGTTGCTTTAAATACATACACATACATAGTATAAGCAAGACAGACTTCTTCAATACAATTTCAAATTCTCCCTTAAAAATACACAGAAGCTTTGGGGTTCAGCATGGGGAAAGAGTAGCAGTTTGTTCTAAGAATGACTCTACCCTAACTAACATCTGCTGCCCATTTTTAGATGGAAACAGGATAAAGACTTCTTATCACAGATGTTACAAGTAGCAGTTTATTCTTTTCTCATTGAAAGTGGTGTTTCACATCTGTGATTCCTCCATAGAAGAATTCACAACATTTTTCTGTTTATTCTTTATTCTATAGAAAAAAAAAATCACACCTAGCTATGTGCTATCTTCCACTAAGGGTTGAAATCCTCCTTGGAGGTATGACCATTCTGAACTTAACCTGAAGGCAAAACAGCTTCAAGCCTCTCCAAACTCAGGAACATTTTAAGATCCTTTCTCTCACATACGGTATATAAAAATAATTTATCTTTTGTTTAATATTGGGCACGTTTCTGCAGCAGTGGAAAGCTACACGTCTGGAACTTAAATTCCACAATTTCAGTTGTGTTTGTAGAAAAGCTGCCATTTCAACTCATAACACCTCAGAAGGTCCACTTGAATATGACAAAGAGGTGTATAGTTTCCATGTGTTGACAGTTGGCTCACTCTTAAAGTTTTTGGTCAGCCAAGCTCTCACTTATTTCATCTGAAGTTCTCTGGATGTTTTCTTTGCATAAGAGCTACAAGGACTAATGTTACTGAATGTATTCACAAAAAATTACAGCTGCAAAAAATTTACTGTACTATTTCTCTTAAAATTATGCTATTTCTTCACATACTTAGGACAGTTTTCCATATGTGCCCTTGAATTTTCAGACAAATAATGTATATTTACATCCAATTATGTTGGTTTGTGGTTTATATAATTAAAATATCACAGTCATTAACTACATCTTAAACTATGTCTTAAAATCATGAACATGCAAACTTACTGCTTTTGTACAACCACAGAAATTTATGACTCTCAACTACACTTGATAGCACATTTCCCAAAACTCACCTTGCTTTTCTGCATGTAGCTGTCATTCAAATGGCCTTAGACTTATCTCCTAAGCTTTATCTCTCTGCTCATGCTTATAGCACCTAAAGATCAGACTGAAGATGCAAAGCTTTTAGTTTTCATTAACCCAATGAAAAAAAAAATAAAAAAGAGTCTTGACATACAATGTACTATGCATTTGTTAAACTTATAGCTTTAGAAGAAATTAATGCTTCAAGCAATTAGTACAGTGGAATAACTTTAGCCTGCCCAGAGTAACCTAAATGAAACTTTATTTCATTACTAGCTTGTTTCAATTTCATGGTTGATTCATGTTCAGAGGAAGTCCCCCAGCTTTATCAGATCTTCCACATCAACTCCTATTGATGCTCAGGCACTTATAGAAGATTTATCTTTCTTTGGGGCATGGACTGAGGCTAGCAGACTGATTTGCTGGATCATGATTCAGAATCTGCAAAACAAGTATCTGCTTTTTTTTTTAAGCAATGGCTCAACTTTATTTTTTCCTTCTTTACAGAAACCATAATAATACATTAAATATTTTAGGAAATTATATTGAAGAAGAAATGTTAAAATTGTGGTAGCAACCATGTTGAAAATCAAAGCAGAAATTTTTTGTAAGTTAATCATTTTGAAGTCTCACTGTCTGGTATCATCAAAACTCCATCTTTTGCTAAATATTTAGCAAAAATGTAAAGCAACGGCATCTGAAAGCAAGTTTTAAGTAAACCATATATCTTTCATCTCTTCAGCTGGTTGAAACCAGAGAGGGAATTGACTATTTTTTCTCGTCTGATACAAATCCTCCATTTTCTTTAGTACGTGACGAAATTGATTTAGAGTCATCTTTTTCTTCTGTTTTCTCAACATCCGTATTAGTTTTGACACAGTGTTTTAGGTATAAACGGTAGGCTGGAAAATTAATATTAAAAACATTATAACAATGACTGAAAAATACTGCATTTACATATAAGCATACAACCTTTTATTACCTTATGTTGCTAAAATATTCAAATAGCTCAATACAGTTTATTTAAAGTCAGATTTAACTATTCTATGTCAGCAACTCTCATTACTAAAGAAGTATGTTTAGAAAATAATAAGGAAAATGTTTGATTTTTTTTTTAATGCATGACTGCTTTTTGTTCCTGATAAAAGTACTGCCTATCTTTATTGCGAAGCCTTTGGGCAATTGGCTGGATCTGTGGGACTCAGTCTTCTACACAAATCTTATTTGGTAGAAACTAAGCCAAAGTGAAGAAAAACAGTTCTTCCATTGTCATGCAGTTGCCACCTTGGAAAGAAGTGGGGATATAGCTCCCAGGTTGTGTCCCTGGGACAGTGCTTGAGATGCCTGGTAAGTTGGCTCATTTGTGACTGGGAGCTAAAAAGTCCCAGCTAGTTTTGGGGGTGAACAAAAAGGATAAAGTTTCAATCCTCAGTAGGTTAGGTGTGTACTTCTAGTGCAATGCATATGAGGTGTATGTAGAAGTAAAAAGGGAACTTACAACAGAAGATTTCGGTTCTCATATTGGCTGTGAAACTAATCTTTCTCTCGATGTATGTCAAGATGTATGCTTTTCAGGATGGTCCTGGTGTGAAACTGTAAGCTCAGGCACTTTGGAGTGGTAGAGGGCTCAAGAGGAAGGCACATTTGCCTTTCTTCAGGAAAGGGTAATAACAAATCTCTGCCCAAAGTATACTTCTGTATTCAGTTGTAGGTGACAGATTGCTTCCCTTGTTCTGAAAAGTAAAGGGCCTTCCAAATCTTAAACTGATCCTTATATTGTCCCACACAGCACAGTGGTGATGAACAGTGATAATTTGAGCCATTATTAAGTTAACTGTTTTCCATTTGATTATTTTTCTCTCTCAAGTGTATGTTCCTGTTTTCTGCATATTGACAGAAAATGAGGCTGATGATGATAGCAATAATAATAATGTTCTAACAGAAAATATCAATATCTGTACTATACCTCCTAAAATCATTCCTGCAAACGTCAACTGGAAAATGCTGTAGATGAGTGGGAAAGTAAACATCAGTTCAAGTTGTTCAGCGTTGAAGGAGAGCTGTACAATTGTTGAACAGAGCTGAGTGTTTTGCATGCCTGTTTCCAGAGACACCGTACGACATCTAAAGGGAATAACACAATAGCAACTGTGAAATGGCATCCTGTGCATTCCTCTTCTTTACTAGGTGTCTGCAAAGTCAGGATCCACACAGATAAATGAAAAAATAGCACTCCTCAGCTTACAAGTGATAGAATTTTTAGAACCAGAACACATGCATTTTATGCCAATTAAGCAATTGCAGGGGAATATTATATGCTATAGTCAACACTATTGATTGTAGAATCATAGAATATCCTGAGTTGGAAGGGATCCAAAAAGGTTATTAAGTTCAACTCCTGGCCCCGCAAAGGACCACCCAAAATCCAAACCATACATCTGAAATGCTCCTTGAACTCTGTCAGCTTGGGGCTGTGACCACTACTCTGGGAGCCTGTTCCAGTGCCCAGCCACCTTCTCAATGAAGAACCTTTTCCTGGTATCCAATCTGAAACTTTATTCTCCCTCTCTTTTGAAACAGTACTCTAAATTATAGGCTGCTGTTTCTTCATTAGAAGTTTTACTTGCCACAACCCATTTGTTTGTTAGGTCTATTCTGCTCACTTTCTTTGAAGTCCAAGACATGGGCACACATGAGAAAGACAGGAGGAAATACTAGTCATAATCCATAGATAAAAATGTAAACATTATAAGTTTTATTTACATGCTGTACATTAGAAACATGGTTGGGGAACGAGTGATCTGTTGCAAAACGAATATTTAGGAATCATTCTCAGCATTGATTATTTCTTAAATAAAAGCTTCCTTCACAGATGAAATAAGACTATAAGTCAGAGAGAAATCTATACCTGCTCCAAGACAGACCAGCGAGACGAGCCAGAAAGAATCCCAAACAATAGCCAGCTGCTGGAAATATGGTACCAATGATCCATAGCTTAGGTGTGATAACCCACGAGCCTTTGTAGAGTATTCCCCCAACCACAGCAATGATGACAATGAGAACTGCTCCTGCTATGGAACCAACCTGTGAGAAAAAAGAGGAAAGACGGTGTGAATAAGAGACTTCACTGAAATTTTGTGACAACAAACACAATGTCAAACACACATTTGAATGTCTTTAGCCGAGCCACTGAAACATCTTATTAAACATAAAGCTAAATGTTTACTGCCATCTAATTCATGGGAATTACACAGATTAGATCACTGCCATTTTCCCAAAAATAGAGCTGTAAAATGTACTTCAAAGTGTGACTACAGACAGATCAAAGCTCAGCTAAAATTAAACATTAAAAACTTCAGAGCTGTAACATAGATGAAGAACAACTTGGATATTAGATTTTTCCCAGCATTACTGGGAAAATAGTAGTCTAATAGCTAGAATAATGCACTTTTCCTTCCCACTCTTTGAACAGTCACAGTTTGGGGCTTAGCACAGTATATGCTAATTAGATGCTAGATTGTTGGTGCTAGGAAATTATTTGTCAAGTGAAGGAATAAATATTTGTTGTGGCTGAAAATATTGCGTATGAGAACTGGCTGTGAGTTCATACGCATTTCTATACGGACATAGTCACAGAGTTAATCTTATTTTCTGTGGCTGAACATACTGAGATCCTCACTGCTTCTTGCCAAGGTAAAGGATAACACATTCTCTTGTAAATATTCAATTTATCTCAATATCTCAATTGTGGTATATGTTGCAAGATGTCTCACCAGATATCTATGGTTAAGTGAAGAGGTAATACATTTTTTTAACTAAAAGGTGTATTCTCTTTGAACTGGCTTCATCAATCTTTGACTGAATCTTTTTAAGGGCACTGAGTCAACAAGTGCTTTTGTTTGACTGAGATATTAACCACATGCATCTAGGAAAAAGTAACAGGGTCTAGCCATGACAAGCTATTCTGTTTCACATTGTGCTCTTATCTCCATTTCTCACTATCTGGACTTTAATCTGACAGCTACAGTTCAGTCTTTGCTTGATGCTTCATTGTCCAATATCAAGCAAACTGGCAGTGGAATCTACTGTGGGTTGCTCGCCCACTCAGTACAAATAATGATAAAATTGTGTTTTGCTGAAAGAGTAACTAGATTATCTTCTCATGTGAGCTCAAGTCCATGACTTTCCCTTAACTGAACATGCAGGAACAGCACTGTTTTGAAATCTTCTCTCACTACTATTCATGTTCTTAAGTAAGGTATGGATACATTTAGAAACATAACAGGATAAATAAAAATTTCATGAAAATTACTGGGAGTTAAAAGGAGTTATTTGCATTCTGTAATTTCTGAGCTGATAGCAGAAAAGGAATAATAAAATATAGGTAACCACTTGTCAGGTTACGTTTGTTTAAGAAAATGTAGAAAATGTTTATATTAACTTAGGGTAGTCAAGAAAGGCCAAGGATTCTCAGCACATCTGAGAATCACTTTGAACTGAGCAGGAAAATATTCAGAATGATTAATTTTCTGTTAACATAAAATGCAGATAAGCTGTTACTATTACTATTTTGGTAAGGTCTGTTTTTGCCAAAAATCATAGATTCAATGCTTCTGAATCTATCTTGCAAATATAGTTGAACTTTCTGAATAGTTTTCTTATAATTTTTAAATATTGGAACATTTTCAACACATGCACATATATATATGCATATTTAAATCAACTTCACACTCAAAATTGCCAAAAAATGATAAATTGGTTTAAAAGTGGAAATATTTTTGTTTGACCCAGAATGTCTTCATTTTGTACTATTTTGAAGGAAAAGTTCCATTTGACCTGACTGATTTTCCTTCCAATTTTCAGTTTACATTATAAACTGAACTCAGTTGCTAGCATAGTTCTAGCCAAAAAAAAAAAAGTATGCTCTTTGATGATAGCTTCTAATAACATGTACGACTAATGCACGTTTGTGCAGGGGGAAAGCAATACATTTCTGCAGTATTTCATTTGCTTTCTGCTGAAAACTCCAAGGCTCTCAGATACGAATACTATGAATAGTAATATGCTGCTTCAGTTGTGCTACAGATTTCATAATTTGTCTATAATTACCAATGCTTCAGCAGTACAAATCCTACCTTAAGTATTATTTTTGCTTTACTGGGCCATTTGTGATTAACAAATACTCCAACTGAAACAGGAACTACAAGAGCTACCAGTGAAATTCCTGTAAAAAAGAAAAGAAAAAAGATAAACCCACATATCATGTAGAAGTTCATGATGGGAGCATGCACTGTGTGGAGCAGCCAGAGGTATAGAGCAAGCCTACGGTGGATGTTTCTGATATGCACACCCCAACACATGCACACTGTACCAGCACCTGCCCATTTGCTTTTCTACAGTCTGTTATCTTTGGCAACCTGTTGAAGTAATTGCAATTCAGCTGAGCTACATGCTCATTCACCTGAATCAAAAAGGCAGACAGAAATTTGAGTGCACTAATCACCGCTATCCTGTGATGTGTGTAGCTATATTAAATGTTCACTTTGTCTGCAGGTGTTTCACCACTGTATCAAATCAACAAATGGTTTAGAGCTTCTTTTGTTCCGGCCTTCTTTCTCCAGCATGTTTTTTGAAAGCACAAGCAATATATGTGATTTTTTTTTTTTACCCAGGACAATGGGAATTGAAATTGAAGAATATGAAAGTGATCTGCTGGCTTTGTAAGATAACCACAACATGGGACTGAACGTGATAAGCAACAGGGCTACAGTTCTGCAAAGCACTGGAGCATATATTTCTAAATACTTTGACTATTTTCTCTTTGTAACTGGATGAGATTTCTGACAGGAAGTCAAATGAAGCCACTCCTGGTGGTGTAGATTGCAGCTTTTCAATGAGACTCAGCAGTTTTAATCGCTTGCTTAATTATCCACATGTGCTTAAGTACTTTGCCAGATACGGCCTCAGCTCTTAGCTCTTTGCAGGATTGTGCCTTAAAGCTGTTACCAACGCTTTCATCCAGGGAAAGCAGCTATTTCTGTATGAATTACTCTTATCCCAGTACCACGCAGGTTTCTAAACTATTTAAAAAGAAAAGAATGCACGAACTTGTGAAAAATAACTGTACTGTGTTTATAATAAAATATTTGATCTGAAGAGCTGTGGATGACTTGAGGTGATCTAGGTACCTAATTCCCACCAAAATCACTGAAAAGTAGGGAAATACATATTTTTAAAATGTCTGAGGTAATTTCTTTATGCTTCTGCAGGATGGTGATAGTGTAAGAGTGTTTGTTACAAGAAGGAAAATAAAGGAGAGTCAGAAGGGAAAGTGTGGTTTGCTTGACTTACCAATGCTGTCATAGGGGAGTACAATTGCATCGGAATCGGTCCACATCTTAGTATAAATAAAAAGACAGAGTGGCATCATCCCCATTGCGAGAATTGTGGAGCACGTTGTCATGCTGATGCTGCAAAGAAATTGGTTTAAGTGACAATTTGTCTCATGCTAGACTATGCTCTCTTCATTTCCTTATTATGACTTAGCAGCTTATGTAAAGATATGCAAGAAATGCTGCTGGCTACAGCCAATTTATCCATATGTCAAGTTAGAAAAAAAGCTAAATGCAAAGAATGGTTCTGCTGAAAAAATAAAAGAAAAAAAACACATAAATACCAACATGTTCTGCAGACATTAAACAATACGTTACAGTGCAGAGCACAGTACAATAAATTTCAGTACAAACAAAGAAGCAGAGTGGCAATCATCAGGAAGGACTGTTGGCAAGTCTGTACACACGCTGACTGGCTGGCCTCTGAAAGGTCAGCAACATGGATCAACAGCCACTTTCCATTTCACTATCAGTTCTGGACTATTTTAGAATTTCTCTCCAAGGCCAAAAAGCAAACAATATCAACAACAACAAACAAACAAATAAATAAACAACAACAAAAACCACATTAATCATATAGGAAGTACAAGATAATAAATTTCCCTTTTCTGACTTTTCCTGCTCTAGGCCAAAGAGCAGGTACTGATAATTACACTTTGAAACTGAGCGTAAGTATTGTTGCTTCCTTGGTTTGTTCAAAGATGTTTTTGTGTTAAAATACAAAGTTTTAGAATCATAGAATCACAGAATGGTTTGGGTTGGAAGAGACATCTAACATCATCTAGTTCCACCCCCCTACTATAGACAGAGACATCTCCCTGTAGATCCAGTTGCTCAAAGTCTTGTCCAGCCTGGCCTTGAATGCTTCCAGGGTTGGAGCACTTTGCTGGGTAACCCGTTCCAAATCTTGAATCTCTTGAGCCTGGTATACTTTGTTGAAAAATGAGCGTTCTGCTGGACAATGGAAGACACAGTGAGACAGGGAAAAAGATTGAAATGGAGGATATAGTTAGATTTTTCTTTGTAGTGTAGATAAAATGTTGCCTTCATATCATTCTCCTATGAGGTAAAAATAATGACAGAAGGCTTTACTTGAGAGACTTCGGAAACTTCCTCATGAGCCTCACTTTTGACAGATCTTTGATGTAGTTTACTCTCATAACAGAAGCTACAGATACACAAACTGGATACATTCAGAGATATCTGGAAGAATTCATACAGAAACAACAGAAATATTAGTTTTGATTTCTTTGACTCTGATTCAGTGTTGTTGGATATAATTACGTGGGAGACTCTGGAAAGAGAATTCTTACACATAACGGAAAAAGAGCAATGGTCTTTTACTCAGGTCTGATAAAGACCCAAGTTAATAAAGAGCTCATGTGTCTATATTTCCTACATATTTTCACAGTTTCTATATCTACATCCTACTACAAAGGCTGATCATTTGCTAACCCCTATCCCTGTTCTTGCAGCAGCTCCCAGAGGAGCTACGGAGGAGAGGAAATGGTAACACAGAAGAAGTTCTTATGAGTTAGCAAGAAATGTCTAAAACTGGTGTCCCTATGGGAAATTTCAGGGGATATTATCTGGGTCTGCACTACTAAGAAAGGTACAAAACCTCATACTTTATCTTCCACATTATCTTTACACAAATAGTAGAAAATTAATTCTTGCCCTAGCTTATGATTTAACTGCACTAGGAAGTGTTGAGCAGGACTGTAGATAATGTCGATGGCTTATTATATACAAAGATAAAATATCAGTTAAAGGCAAAACTTAGTCTGATATGCTGTGCTGGCTACAGAAACCAGCCAAGCTACTTGTACTGTTATTCTATCAAGACTGATTATAATTGCATCACTTGCTGTACCTCCTGTTTCCTCTAGTCCTTGAATTATTGTAAAAACGTAGTGCTCAAAAGCCTTTGAAATCTTAAGGTAAAGGCTTTTACCTGAAGAATAATATTTAGTACGTGTTTCCAATTTACCTCACCCTCTGCCACCATCATGAGTTATAAATTCTACTCGTATTTATAGCATCATCAATTAGGATTCTGATTATACAGACCTGACAAAGAACAGCTTAGCTCAGTGTATTCTTCCAAGGAAAGATTAGGACGGAATTTAAGACTTGTGCTGGATGTCTTTTTATCTATGTTTTCTCAGACCCGCATTCATTGAAATAAATTGTCTTATAGTTTCTACTATCATAGGTTTTTCCTCCACAGTGAGGAAGCTGGTGATTAGCGGGGGCTGACTTCATACATAATTCGAACTCAGGCATTACATTAACACCTGTGTGTAACAGAAAAGTTCACTGTTTTCAAAGGATGGAAAAAATGTCTTATTAAAGCCACAAATATTAACATTCTTAGTCAATTTGCTCTGACTCCACATCTTTCTTACTTCTATTATTTTTTCCACTTCTAGTTCAGACTGGCATATGATAAATTGGATGAATGCTCCAATTTATGTTTCTCTGCAGGAAATGGAGAAATTATCTTGTTTATTTTAGAGCAGAGTAATCAGGATATGAAAAGAAAAAAAGATGGCTCATTTTTAAAAGCTGTTAGAGTTAATGAACGCCCCAAGAAATTTTCATCAGGAGTACGATGCATTTCTACAGTGTGTTTGCTGTCCAAGACTGCACTACATATCCTACATATTTGTTTCTGAGTTTGGAGCACCCAGTCAGAGACCATCACGCTTGGTCACAGTGGAGTTTTTCCATAGCAGCTCATGCACAGGACTGCATTAATCAGTAGTTTTTCGCCTGTAAAAATTTCCTTCAGTTTGAAGAAATTGCAGAAGGTGCCAGGAGCACGTAAAATTGTCATAAGTAATTTCCTTTTGTATTAGTACCCAAAGAGAAAGGCTATGCCTGTCTGTTCATTGTGCAGAACACAAAAGGAGGAAAAATATTTTTCCACAGGTGGTTTCTTTCAAGAAACATTTTTTTCAAAAAAATGTTGCATAGCTGCTTTTTCATACACAGGACTGTGTATGAAAAAAACTTTATTATATTTTTTTAATTGCCCCAGGTCTTGGAGAAACAAAATCACAAATATAAGTCTTATGTAGTCAATGAGTTCGTAAAACTTAGTATGCTATTTTACGAAGAATTTGAGATCTTATAGCAAAGACATTCTCTAAAATTCACAATTTTGTTACGATATCTTCCTAATGAGTTATCAAGATCTAACAATAATTCTAGTCTGGTCATATTTATTAGTACTATAGTAACTAAATATCTCCACAGGAAGAAAGTTTCACCACACATCAACCAAGACAAGAAAAAAATCAGACGGTCCTTTTCAACACAAAATTTACAAAAAGCCATGAGAACATTTTAGAAAACAATCACTCTTACCTTAGGTCCATGTCACCATCCACCCAGTAGGCAATGACATTAGAGGCTGTGCCTCCTGGACAGCATCCCATGATCATCACCACAACGGCTTGAATAGGAAGCACATTAAAGGCCACTGACAGCAAGAAGGCTGTGAGAGGCATAATTCCAAACTGACAGAGAAAACCCACAAAAATACCCCAGGGTCTTCTTATGTGGTTCAAAAAATTTTTGACTTCCACATTGCAACCCATGGAGAACATCACCAAAGCCAGCATGATTGTTAGAACAGTACTTAAAACTACATTCAAAGTCTGGTTAAAAGTATCTTCTGGTAACACACAAGATGTACCAGTACAAATAGTAGCATTTTCTGGACAAGCTGTGGAGTTGTCCACAGCTGGACAAGCTGTGGAGTTGTCCAGCAACTTGGTGTTAAAATGCTGAGAAAGTAAGTAATCCTGCATTTTGAAATGCAGAACTGCTCAGAGAATCCGAGGCAAATTTTCAAGCCTGTGTAAATGATTGTTTGTCAGCCACTCTTTTTAAATGATCCAGGAAGCAATAAAGTTCAATAAATACCTGGACACTGTTACTATTCCTTAAGGGTTTGGCACAATGCTGATTCATATGGTTATAAAAGTTATGCTTGCTGATATGGTGGTAATCAATCATTTATTCATATGATAATGAGGAATCTCACATCGAGAGAATGTGTTAATATGTAAGGGTGTAAAGGAGGCTTGTGGAATAGCTAAGCGCACAAAATGAAAATAACAGGAGGAAAAGAAAGTTTAGATTTCATTCTTTGAATTTTTTGCATGCCTTCAGGAAAGCTGCTCCTGCATGAACAATGTGTGCGTTACAAGGATGTGCAGGGCTGAAAGGAGTAACTGATACTCAAAAAAACCTGGGTAGAGGCACTGAGCAAGGAAAAAAGATTCACCTTCTAAATACTGCACAAGGCTGCATTTTAGGGGATTGTAAGAACTTCTCTGCAACTGCAGTAGAGCAGTCAAAACCTCAATCCTGTCTACGGAGTGCTGCAGGCAGAGCTGTGAAGTGTCACACCATGCTATGTGCCACAGCATTCAGGTGCAAGGGTCTACTGGATTCAGGGAGTCATACTGAATGGGATGTGATCCAAGTTCGACTGTATTTCTGGTGTAATAGAAGTTATGACTGGTGTACAGTGCCAACATTCTAATTGTGTTTAGTTGCACTACTTATCATTCTTTCTCAGTTTCCATGTAGTCCTTAAAATGGTTAGGATCCTAGCCTTGAATTTTCCTGCAGTCTGCTTAAAGGTTGCCTGTATTTTGGCTTTGGCTCATGCAGCACAACTGTAGGAACTGACACCCTGACATTTTCATGTCCCATCAGCCCATGTACCCAATGACCAGGTGTCTGTTTCTCACCTTACTCCAGGCCACATCTACCCCTGTGCTGAACCCGT